AGGACACTTTTGCCCCTCACTTTTGCTCAACAATGAAAAGTAAGTTTTTTTGCTGTGAAATATTTGCCAACAAATTAAGTTGCTGGGTGCAGATACCTGGAAAAGTCCAACCCATAGGTTATAAGCATGGCAATAGACTACTCCATCTGGGAAAATTTAGTCTGTCGAGAAATCTGACCCTGATTTTTTATTTGCAGCAGATTCTGTAATACTTAAGCTACAGAATTTACTTTAAGGTTGCCTGAGGACTGGATTGTCTCTGAAACTCCCTTATGGTCTTGTCAAATGATCTCATCAGGTCACCATGAGGCACAGTGAGAAAGGAGCAAGGCAACTGTACTGCATTTACTTCTTATGACAGTTTAACCTTGAGGAACTGAAGTCAGCCTTACTCCTGGCAGGGTAGTGAGCTCCTGGAGTAATGGAATGTCCTGCTTTTTATCTGTGTTCCCATGTGCCTGAGAGCTGCTGGTAAAAAAGACAGCTGCAGGTTTTCAGCAGTTTCTAAAATGAAAAAGTCCACGGGAAGGAGAAGATGAAAGAGAAGTGAGTTCAAGTTAGGGTTCTGTCTGCAGGGCAGAAGGACACAGAGGGCAGTGTGAGCAGCAGCAGGCTCCATGGGCATCTCCTGTGTGCTCCACCTTGGTGCAGCTCAGTGTACACTGCCAGCAGGGAACTGGGGCATTCCCTGCTGGCTGTGCCACCCACTTCTCTGCTGCCTTGTGAGGGCTTACACAAGGTTGTCATTTTCAGCTTTGCCTGTGGATTGCCTTCCTTGCGGGCATTCATCCTCTCCTGATGCAGGCCATCAGCATATAATGTTTCAACCAGGTAGCAAATATGCTTTGCAGGGGACCTCTCCCTCACAGCAGCTCCAAGCCTGATGCAAAAGACTGAATGTAATTGTCCTTTTTATTTTTGGATGACAGACCAGAGTGGATTGAGTCCTTAAAAGAAGCACTGTTTTCCCATTCCATAATGACTTATTTATTTCACTATACATTGGATTCTTCAAGAACAACCTATTAACAACAGAATACCAACATATTACACATGTTCCAGAAGAAAATTCATTAACAATAACATAAAGTAGTTGCTATTTTATGAGCTCACATTCCTGTGTGATCCTTTATTAAAATGTGGCAGGTTAAACAGTGGATATTATATTTGGATCTTCCTTAGATGAATAAAATGAAAATGTCAAAAACGCTGGGTTTTATAGTTCTATGAAGTACTGAAGTGTTTTTCAAACATTTCACATTATGATGTAAAAACTACACACACACACACACACACACACGCCAACCAACCAACCAACCAACTAAAAATTTCTAATAAAACTTCTAATTTCTACCTTTTTTGCTCCACATTTTAGGGTTTTCCAAACTGAAAGAATCTTACACCATGAATGTAAAGATAGAGACCAAATCTGCAAGTTTCTCGAATTTGGGGTGCCTGTATCACTATTAAAACTCCTGAATGGTATTAAAGAAAAAAAAAATCCCTTGGAAAAATGCTTTTGTGAAAAAACTTGTGGAATATGGGACTTTTAGCTCACTTCTTTGTCACAAACTGATTGATGCAGGACGTGCTTGCTTACCAAATCTGCCTGCAAAAGAGTGGCAAAATAACCAACTGACCCCAAACTTACATTTTGCAGCTGTCATATTATTTGTAGTAATTACAACAAAGCTTTTTGAGCCTTGCTCATTTTATACTTTAAAAGTTTTGGATAAACAAATTAATATCTTGCCTCAGTGGCTTTTACACAAAAACTTTGAAAGACATAGGCTTGAGCCCATGTAAAAAGTGGAAAATCATTTGGATAGATTAAAAACATGAAAAGTTTTTCATTCCATAGATAATTTTCATTTTTAGGAAAAAAAAAAACCCTCAAAAAATCCAGAAGGGTAAATAAAAAAAAAAAAATTAAAAAAAAATAATCCAACTCTGAGATAGCTACTCCAGCTGAAGAAACTCCTAAATTACCATTTAGTTTTGAGAACCTATGAAGAGGAATTTTTCTGGTTTTTTTTTTATTACATTTTTGCTTGAAACTGCATAGAAAGAGTAGGCATAAATGGAGACAATAAGCAGATAAATATTGAGCAGATTTATTTGGAAGTTTGTATCTTCTCCCACTGATGGCAGCAATAAAGCTTTCAGCAGTGTAAAACTCTCAAGAAACATTCCCTGAAACTATGGCCAAATGGGTCTATTTTTCACTCAAAGTGTGTACCATGTGGGGGCCATAAAGTGCCACAGGGTCACATTTAACAGGGGAACCGAGCTAAATAAAATAAGAACCAAGCAGGTAACTTAGTCTCCAGCCGTCCCCACCTCCCCACCCTAATATTAATCTTAGTGATTTGAAAACTGAGTTAGTTTTGCTTTATAAATAAATAAATCACTTGCTTTGACACTTGGTGAATTTAGCTGGAGGCAAAATGAGATCTTTTGAATACTGTTTGTTCTTGCACTGTTTCTGTCAGAAGCCCAAAATCTAGGAATAATGGAGTTTAAGAGAGACACTTTCTTCTGAGATCTAGAAGGAATAAAGGGGTAGAGCATATATCAATTTCAAAAAAACCAAAGAAAAAATCCAAACCCATGCAAATGGTAGGTGTAAAGTGGGAGCTTTTATTCTGTTAATGTCTGTTGACATATTTTCATTGTTACACATCTTCTGGAGGGACTTGCCACTCATGGCACTAAGGTCTGTTTCCTATTTAATTTTTTCCATGGAGTGACCACAGATGACTAATGACTTTTGAATTACATTTATTAATGCTTTGCACTTATTTCTGTAGCTGTGTGTGTTCAGACAGAGGAAACAGAATACCCTCAGATTTTGTGTTTGTTTTTTTCCTCCTTTCACCTTGACAGCCTTAGTAGTGAAAAAATAAATAGTTTTTTTCAAGACCAAGAAAAAGGCTTCTGCGGTACCTTAAGAAATTATATTCGATACATCCAGTTTTACTGAACGTATTTTCAAAGTGCATGGTGCAAAATTAATGCAATATTTCAATGCAAGATTTAGGAAAACATAAAACTCTGGAGTCAGAATTTCAACATGACTCCATATCTGTTAGGGCTATTATTATTTAATTAAGATGACGTGCTTCAAAATGGCTAATTCTAGTAAAGGACTTTTTATTCTGAAAAGCCTGGCTAACACTTTAGTTCTCTTACAGTTAAAACATAATTATCTGAAATGATTGAAAAGAATGAAACCCTTGTTCTCTTTTAAAGAACTAAAATGATCCTGTCCTTCCATATTGCTTCAAAAATAAACAACAAAAAAAACCCAAAACTGCAAAACATAGAAAACTCAAGAAACTTAATTTCCTAATAATGGAGATTGTTTTTATAATATCATGTGCTCCTCATCTAAATATATTTATTGTAATGATTACATGGCACCAGCACGAATATCAAAACAGCCTGAATGCTCATGTTTCTGCAGTGGTTGTTAGTTAAGGAGACCTTAAAATGTACTAGGAGAAGTGCAGCCATTTCTTTGCTTTTCCTGCTCAGTATTTTAATTTCATTTTCACATCATCCTGATGATTTTTCTTAGATGGAGCTCTCAACAAAGGTTGTAATTACCTTTCAGGAGAATTCAAGAACTACTGACAGGCCCAAAAGAATGATTGTTGCAGCAATGTGAATGGAGAACAGAAAGAAGGCAGATCATGGCATGTACAGATGGTATTTCTCTTTGTAAAGATACTGACTTTCAGTAGACAACTGAAATATGTTAGATCCAATTTTCCTGAGTTACAGTTCAGGGGAACTCCTGAAGTAAAGAAATTGGGAATTAGGAAACTGTTTGTAGGATGGGTTAGAAAGTTAAGGGGAGATGAGTGACAGTGTGGTAAGTAAGGAACTTTCACAGTAGAGGGGACCTGTTGGGAGAACATTTCAGGTTTCAGAAAAAAGTTGTGGTCAGCTTTTCTTTAATGACCTTTATGCAAGAAAAATACTTATAACTCTGAAATGTAATGAAATGTGCATATGTTGCAGACCTGGATGATATCACCAGGAAGTATAAAGGGACCGTTTGGAAAAACAAGAGACACCAATTTGATGTGGCCACTAAAGAAACAGCTAATATTTGCCATACAAAGTCATTTTAACAAATATGGATGGGATGAATTCTTCCTTACAAAACCCTGTTAACACAGTTTATCTAGAATTCAAAACACAACTATAATCACAAAGGTTCAAGAGAAATGAATTCAGTGTGGCTAACATGATGGCAGGGTGAATAAAGAAACCGTGCTGCAGAGTCAGAACAGAGGTGTCTGCCTTGCTGAGGGAACAAGAATCTGCACTGAAAGAGAATATACTTTGAGTTGAAACATTGTTTGTTTCAAATGGATGTACATTGCCTTTTTTTTCATCCAGGGAGGAGGTACTTATTCTCCGAAAGTGCATCTTAAAAATTATCAAAACAAAAATCATCAACTCTTCCCTATGATTTTGTGAAGCACAAGCAAGGACATCTTTCTGCCTGGTAAATACTTTCAGTAAGGCTGGTCTGCAAAGCCCATTTTACTGAGTCCATTTGTGTTCACAGTGCAGAACAACCTCACACTGACTTACAGCAAGCAGAATGCATTAGAAAAATACTAATAAAGAAATATTTCATATCCTCCTTAATCAATGTTTTCAAATCCAAGCAAATGTCACTTCATTGCAACTTGCTATCCAACACGTTGTGACACAAATTCTCATTAAATGATTCCTTATTGCAGTACTAATTCCTTGAAGTCTTCATCTATTTAATCCCTAACCTTAGAAAGAACAAGGTTTCTTTTTAATGAACACCATAGCTTTCTGATTCCTTAAATTTCTTAGTTATCTGTACTGAAATTTATTTTTCCACTGTTAGAATAAGCCAACACTCTGTCAGCATATATCTAATAAAATTTTTAACTTAAATTGCTGCAAAATTCACCCAGTAATATATCCAAAAATCAGAACCATTTTTCATCTCTCACTTTAGTAAAGGTTGTATATTTAATGGTGTGTCTATTCATATACATTTTCAAGTATAACAGTATAAAGAAAACAGGGTTATTTTCCTTGAAGAAATACTTTCTCCATCTCCTGTCCCTAGCTTCTCTCTTCCATTGTATATGTGCACTTTTCCCTCCTTCTCATTTCTTGCCTTTAATCCATGAGGCTGTAGACACTTTGCATAGAACCAGGAATAGTCTTCCTGATGTTTCATGTACCTACAATACATTGAAAAAAAAAAAAATCCTTCTTTTGTGTCTGCAAGAGCCAGGCTTCTGAAGCTGTCTCACAGAGGTACCAAATTACAGTGATGCATAGCCAACATTCCCTGAAATTAATTACAGATTGAAGGAAGTGAAGAGAGAAATGTAGAAGCCATAAAGTCCACAGAATACTTTCTAAAGATTCAATGGAATAAATGCACCTGCTTGTGAGACAACTCAATGCATCATCTTGCCTTCTGAAAATACGCAAAACCGTTTTCATTCCCCAGTCTTGAATTTCCTTAACGAGTTAACAAGGAGTTCTGTTAAATGAGATTCTATTACACAAGCTAAAGAACTAAACAAGATTTGTTTTTAAGTGATTCACTATCCATCATCTTACTATTCAAAATTCAGCTTTAGAAAATATCATAGGCAACATCTCTCAAAAAGGAAAATTCTCAGTTCCTGCCTTGCTTCTCATTACTGCTTCTAATGTGGTTTGCAGTCTGTCGCCCAAATGTAACACACACAGGCACACACAAAGGCTGACTGCTGAATTATCCATTCCTTTTGCTCAGTCTAGTCACTCACAGCATCTATTCCCAAAATGTGGAGGAAGATCAAATGGCCTCTGGTGGGCTTAGTTTTAGATCATCTGGCTCTGCAACCGATAGTAGCCCATTTAACCAACTGCAGAATTGCATTGAACACTGTCCCAAACTGCTAAACAAAAGATTCTCTTATTCCTGTGGGAAAGACAGCACATCCTAGTGGAGACTTTAGAATATACATCTTAATGTATTACATCACAGTGTCATGCAACACTTCTAAAGAAAGAAAGCTGTGTTGTGGCAGAAGGTACTGAATTAATTCTTACATGACTTCAAGTTATTACATGCTTTTTTGTATGACCACAACAAGTGATTTACCTCTGTGCGCTTTTTGAAAACAGGAATAAAACCAAGTTTTCTGAGTCACTTTTTGTCTCTCTTCCTTGGAGTGTGAGCTGGTAGGATATGAATTGCACCCTTTGAGTATACATGGGCAAGAAATTTCTGCACTGTGCCATCTGAATAAAATAGCTGATAACATTCAATGAACTCTGATGTTTTCTGAGTACCTTGCTACTTGGAAAAGTCTCCTGTTACATTCTAATTTCTAAACAGTAGCATGATCCCACTCATTCTAACACTTGAAACCACTCCTGGAGAAGATGTGCAAGATCAAAGCTTATGAAAACAGTATCTCCAAGCCCACATGCACTTAGAGTCATACTTTGGGTTAGAAAGGACCTTAAAGTCCTCCCCGTCTGGGGCAAGGTCACTCTGAAGTGACACCTACCATGTAAACCCCTTTCCTGGTATGTGCTTCATAACCTCTCCTTTAGCTTTTGTAGCCATGGAGTCTTCCCAGAAGTGTTTAACAGGGTGCTTATTCCAGTGTTTCATTTTCTGTAGGCTCAGCCATTAATGTGATTGACAGCATGACACTTGGCTGTGTGGTTGCAGATTGCCCCAAATATCAGTATTCCTTCCTTCTTCTCAAAGGATAGGTTCAAAGCTGCATTCAAGATAAATTCTGTATTAACTGCTTCTTCTTGATGCTCATGTGGAACAGATTCTTCGACAACCATCTGATGCAAGAAGTCCTTTTGTATCCTTCCTCTGGTCTCCTGAAAGTACTTCTAGAAGTCTTCTCATCTTCAGCTCTGCAACTATTGCAGAATTGTGCCTTCTTTTACCAAATTCTCTGCAGCTGCTTTTGTTTCTACACTTATATTTTCAGAATTTACCTCTTACTCCTTTAGTTTCTTCCTGAAGAGAAGGAATTGTCTCCAACCCCTTCTGCATATATGCTGTCCCACAGATGTACAGGCTGCATGATGGTTCCCATTCCCCAAGTACACTTTCTGTTTCATTTTTGTCTTTTTCTGACTTACTTCTAAGTTAAAAGGTTATACAATCAAAATGTCTAGCTCTAAGTTTTCTGTCAAATCCTGTTTCAGTTGTTGACAGATCAAATTTAAAGGATGTTGCCCTGAAATTCTGAAATGCTAAATTGGAATCTGATTTTTTTCAGCTTTTTAAAGTATTCTCCTGTCATTTTCTGCAGCAGTATCCTTAACACTATTGAGCTTGGACACCCTGGACTTGAAGTAAAATAGTATTATCTTAGTCTTCAGAAAACCATTTAATTTCATAACCACTGAATGTGGTCTTTTAACTATTATAACAATATTTAATATGTCAAATTTAGTAAGCACTAAAATTTGACATGCAAAAGCCCTGATTTTCTACTGATTCTATTTATAGATGGAAAAAAAAAAATTGTTCAGAAGCTCATTACTCTTATTTCATCAAAAGTACCTTTTGATACAACTTGGTTTGCTTTTTTTTAACCTTCTTTCACACATATATATACTGGGAATTCTCTTGATCTCTTCTTCAAACATTCACTATTTTAACACAACCAACTTTGCTCCAAAGCTTTTGTTGCTGCTAGCACACAAGATTGTGAACCAGGGTTTATTTTATAAATTATAGAGTTTTCACTACTATTTAAGATGATGTTCCAGTTCTCACATATAATTCTTTGAATAAATTTCACACAGAGACCTTTCACTTGTTGTCCAAAACTGCATCATTAGCTTAATTTTAGATGCATTCAGTCATCCTCTATTGACTTTTCTAGATGGTTTTGTTTCTTCCAAATATACTTTATCTAAACACCAGACACTGCTTAAATCTGATTCTTTTCTTAATCCTGCATAATTTTTCATCCTGTTTCTTTTGAGGAAATTCCAATTAATTATTTAGACTTTTCTTTGAGTGTTTGATCTTGTTCCATTTCTGTATGCTCATAGGAGTTTTAAGACTTACTTACCCAATGCATTAATATTTCTTGTTCTCTTCCCTCAAAACATATGGCCTGTCTTGGTTGCCTTCCCCAGCCTGCCAAATCTGCTTTTTTTTTTATGTGCAAAAAAATTCTTTTTCAGAATCCTTTTCTCATTTTGGGACTTCTGATTACTGTTAAAATTGGATCTGAAACTGGAAATTGCTCAAGATTTCCAGTCTTAGATGTTTGACATCTGTATTAAACCTATTGGTATATATAAAATCTTTTTGTTTTTTCTTGGTTTCCTGTGTCAGATATCTTCAGAATTTCTTTTTTTTTTTTTTTTTCCTTTCATAGGATGATATTTGCTCAATCTCTCCTTAGAACACTTCAATACTTGCTCCTGATGTCCTACTCAAGTCATCCACTGTCTTACAGGGCAGCCTCTATTGATCTGGCCCACTTGACCTCTTACAGTCAGAATAGAAGAATTTGGTACTTGGGACCATACACTAGCTGCCAAATTTCTTTCAATGTTAATAAACCACAGTAATACAAAATTTCAAACTGGATTTTAACAGACATTTACAGTTCATTCTGTAAACTGCCCTTTTAGCATGCTACTTTTAAACTGCATAACTAAAATATTTAATAAAAGAAGAAAGGTAGTTATTGGGAAAAGCTATTACTTATTGTAATGCCTAAACAAGGTTATTGTATTTAAAAGCATTAAATACTTGTCACCAAATTTTAAATACTTTTTAAATACACGGAGACCTGTAAAGAGCTCATATATATCAATGTCTGTGTTTTCACAGGTCTATTAAATACTAAATTGAGATAAAAGCTTCCACTTATGACCAGGATTAGAAATTGCAATCAAAGAAGAAAATCACAGAGTTAAAAAAAACCCAAACTGATAGAATTGGCACAAAGGATTGCAAAAACAAGTGTATTTTCTGGAACACAATTTCTAGAAACTTTCTCTCATATTTTCAAACTATTTCTAGTTAAAACCTTTGCCTTCAGTCTCCTGCAGCCCAAACTTGAATGACTAGAAAATAACACAGGTCAGATTGTCAGTTGTGTATTCTATTCATGTAAAATTTTGAGTACATACCAAGGTGCTATACACAGCTGGAGTCCCTGTTTGAAAGAACCAAATGACAGTTTTTTTTAAAGGAGTTTAGTAGGAGAATAAAATGTCAGAGTCCTCACATTATTTGTTTCCTCCCTGCTTGAGAGGTCTCTCTTCTTTGTACCTCCTCCTCTTTTAAATTTCAGCTTTGAACAGAATCTGGATCACAGTCTGTGAATTGTGTCAGGTCTTTTGTCTTTCTTTTCAAGGTGAATCAAGCTTCATCCAAATTGCTTACTGAAACAATCTAGACTTGTCTATTAATCTGCTTCAAATACATGGTCTGGAAATAGCTCTGAGGAAAGAGATCTATTAATGGTATCGATCCTCATTTGGCTTTTCATATCATGGGTATTTTCCCCAGATGGGTACTACTTGCTCTACAGGTTCTGTTAGCTCAAAATCCCACATACCAGCATCAGACTTTGGGATTTAGGTGCCACAAAATTTGCATTTTGTGATTCAGATACATCCCTCATTCTGACAAAATCTGATTGGATTTAAGTCTTTCTCTTATTCTATAAAATCTCCATTAAAACAATAATGAATGTCAATTTTTTGTTCTGCTTGTCCCCTTGGATATCCCTCCAGGGATTACTCCATTTTACCCAACCTACTAATTCCTCCTAAAATACCCCAACCAATTAAAATATTTTGGATTACATTTCTTTTACCACTCAATATCTCTAAAGGGTACAAGCCAAATTTAATTTCATTTTGGATCATATTAAGAGTCTGTATATTGTAATTTACATAAAGATAAAGCACAGTTTCTTCTGTCCAAGTTAGAGGGGTTATTAATGGTGAGAAGCACTTTTTAGAGGAAGCAATGGCCTGACCCCTGGACTTTGGATTTTAGCAGTTATTGAAATCTTCCTTTTTCTCCATCTACCTCATCAAATATTGATTAAACATTTCACATTTTATATTTTACTTATTTGTTATATTTTCTAGCTCTTGCTTGTAAAAAGCAGCACATAGGACATAAGACTGTCCCTTCTTGGAGCAAAAAGAGTGATGACCCTTGCTGAAGAGGCTACAAACCTTGATTTCTTGCTAGTCTTCCAAGTATCAGTCTGATCAAGGAGCTCAGAGGAGGTGTATCTTTCACCCTATGTTACTACATGTAGTTTTAAATAAACTACTAGGAATACACAATTCACAAGAAACAAATGGATTTCTTTATTCTGATCTTTGTGTGCAAAATTCTTCTATTTATTCTTGATAATAAAAAAGGTAATATATAGTAAACAGAATTCTCATTACTTCTATCAAATTACTTTCCCCCCCCTCCCCCCATGGGAAAGGGTTAATTTTCTATGTTATTTAAATCACAGCAGAAGTTCAGATTACTGATTTTTGCATATATTTTGACCCTGATGTGTAAGTTTCACACTTTGAACTGCAAGGGATAGAGCATCTGTCAAACAGAAATCTGTTTCTAACTTTTTTTTTTACTACTTCACAATGCAAAAAGTGATGAAGTACTACAGTTTAATTTTACATTACCACCATGATGTACATGTAGAAATGAAATAATATAGATGAAACTGATTTTATGTTTTAGAAATTTACCACCAATTAAAAAACTCTAGTAAATGTTTATATGTCCATTCTGTTATTTCCCTTATAAAGCTTACACTTTAATGCATCAATAACATGCAAAGAAAACATCTCAGCTTTGTAAAAATACATTTTATAAAATAATACAACTTGACATTGCCTTCTTAAGAAGAGATCTTTGTAGGCATTTGGTGCATAATATCTTCCATTATTTGAGGCATGTCATTCCCACTGCAATATTACAATAACCTTTCGTTTGCTGTTCTTACCTCCTGCTGTAGCAAGCTGGCTTTTTGGGGCCCTTCTTATTGTTAGTAGAAGAGCATACGAGCAATACAGATGTCTGCAGGAAGGCAGGAATAAAATCTCTGAAGATACATGTTCTAGTTTGAAAGTTGTAATTCATACATAATTTTAAAATCATTCTCGTGAAGAATTATTGTCCTGCTTATGGTCAGGTTAATTTTTTCATAATAGCCATGAGGAACCATGGCCAGGACCCTGATGCTGCTCTTTAGCACCTCTTATCATTTACAGAGGCAGGGGAAAGAGACTATTTTCTCCCTGGAGAAGGGGTTTCTTCTGGTCAAGAAAACATGGTTGACTGACCAGTCTGGCATTTGTTTATTGGGGAGCTTTCTTTGTCATTAATTTCTTCTTACACCTTCTGTTATTAATATTTTTGCTGTTTGCAGTAAATTGTTCTTAAATCGTGATATTTCCCTTCTAGGCCTCCAGTCAGAGAGTGTGGAGGGGAAGGGGCAGGATGGTGTTCAGTGAGAACACTGAATTGCAGAACACTGTTCCTAAACCACAAAAACAATGTAAATCTGTACACAAATATTTTCTTTTACACAAAAGCCAAAGATTTACTCAGCTCTGACAGATATCCAGCAACACCATCAGTGCCACCTTTTCCTTAACTGGGTCTCAGAAGGGACAGATTATTTTCTCCTAGAAAAATATCTAACAACTTTCTCCAAGAGCAGTTACCACTCAAAATGTGCTTATTCAGAAATTCCAATCTTAAAAAACATTTTTTTATGGATGTGCCATGTTTTTATGCCTAGTATCTACCAACATTTAAATACTGCTCTCGACTGTGCCTTGCATTTCCTACACAGATGTTTTTCCTGTTCTTCCTGGTGACTTTAGGTAAAACAAAATTGTCTTTTTTGAGAAGAGTTGAATTGTGAAGCTCCCTATCTGGGTAAAACTCCAGGGAGAACACTGTCTTGCACATTCATCTAGTTTATCCTGGATGTTTTTCACTTTCCACATGGGTGTGGTCTGGAGTGGAAAGGGTTGTGACACAATGGGCTCTCTCTTAATGAGCCTTTCATAGAATCCTTAAGGTTGGAAAAGACCTCTAAGAAAACTGAGTCCCACTCTTGATCATCAAGTCCAATTCGCATCCAACCTGCACGTGTATTCACCATAGCCACTCACCAAAGACTTCAAGATCCTACTGCTGGACAGGGTTGCCACACAACTAAAAAGCTGTCAACCAATTAAATAGAAATACTATGGACATATTAAGAGGAAATAGCTTGGAAACATCAAGCTCTCCATTTCCCCATCAGCCTCTTCAGATGATGACAACCTTTGCCAATATACTCACAGGTACATTTGTACTCAGAGTACATAGGTGCTTCAAAGAGAAAAAAAATTGATTCTCTTCTTCCTTGCACTTCCACAGGCAATTTGGAAAGGAGAACAAAAAATTTACGCTTTATGTCTAAAAGTAGGAAAGTAATTCATAGAAACAACTGTCTGGGGAACCTAGGAGCATCCCCAAGGGGCTGGTTTTCAATGCACTCTCCTAAATGCAGAAGGAAAAGGAAAATAAATAAAAAATAAAAAGAGGAGGTAAATATACAGCATGCATTTCATTTTACAAAGTGCTAGCAAAGGAAGTCAAAGAAGATGGTATGATGATCAATGAGGCTAAGAGTAGGAGATAATGAGAATCAGAGGCTGCAGGAGCCTTAAAGAGCCAAGAGGGGCAGTTCCATTTGTAGAGTCTGTAACAGAGACACTTTCTAACAACATGGTTTCCTGCTCTGACCTTACACTGTGGCAGGGCAGAGCATTGTCAATGCTAAATTTTTCTGTATTTCATATGCTTTCCTTAAAACCACAGATTATGAACAATTTGGGGTAGTAACAGTCTCTGAAAGGGGATTTGTCTATCAGTGTACAGTTATAATATGCATCATATAAACCATTCTCTGATCACATATTTTTGACATATAAGCTACTTATTTGTGCAATGAGTTTTATTCTGGCTAATTTAATAATCTGATTTTGGCTATTTTAATCATTTGATTGCACCAAGGAATACATTGCTCCAAGTTATATCTGTTGTATTTTATATTAGTCCCAATAGGATACTTTGCAGTTCACAGAGCAAATACAGATACCCACACTGTGTCATAAACAGCTGGCTTCTGTCACTTAACCAAACCAACTTCATTGACTCCTGTGAAGACAATGGAATCAAGCCAAATTTATACATACATGAGTATAAAAATATAAATACATGTATCTACACACTCTAGATATTTATTTTTTGAAACAAAATCCAAATCTAGTTGGACTCTTTGTCTTAGTTTTTTAAACTGTTAAGAAGAGAGAGAAATCTGATATCACCTACATTTTATAGCACAGTGCAAATGTTTGCTGGAGTATAAAAGTGTGTGGTAAGGGACATTAAAATATGGCACTACTATCATTGAAAAACAAGTGCTAAGTTAAAGGGCAGTAAATAGGACATTAGGCCCATTACTGCAGGCATTTTTGATACAGTAGTATCGACTGGAATTACTTGCATTGTTAATAAAATAGGTGATATTTTTGTAACAGTGTGCAAAGCGGGAACATGAACAATTTCTTTCTGAATGATTATCCCACATCTTTTACTCTCCAGGATTTCAGATGAGTGTGTAAATAAACAACATGGCAGAGAAAACTTTGTCTGCAGAACTGGAGACGAGGGATCACAGAGGCTCTGAAATAATCATTACAAAATGAAATCAGGCCTCAGGATACAACAGGTGCAGCTGGAGGGCAGGTGGAAAGGAAAGAGGGGGGAAAAAACCACTGAGGCAGAAAGAGAAAGAAGGAACAACAGAACCCTAACACCTTTTGCAAAAGAAACTGTGAACTTTCAGGTGTGCAGAAAATACTTCACTTCAGAGTGTCTGCTGGGAAATGCAAACCTTGATGATAGCACAGTAGCCATTAGTGGTTTTGAAAAGTGCATCCAAGATTATAACGAATTTTAAAATGTATGAGAGGTGACATATAGAAACTAAGGGTCAAGCCTGTCTGCCACTTCTGAGCAGGAAAAAAGGGATTCTTAATATAGCATGAAGCTGGCTGAAGCTTTTCCTATACGAATCTTGTGGTTTTTGACAGCACAATGGCATATATATATATCCTTTACCACCCTCATTTCAAAAGGAGTGAGAGAAACAAACCCAAATGCTAGATCTTAGCCTTTGGGCTTGCCAGCATCACAGGTGTTACAGAGAGAAAGCTTCTATTAGTGAAGAAAGCACAAAGTTTCAGCTAGCTGAACTTAAACAATTTTTTACCAGCAACCTGTGGCTATAATACTATGCATGGATCACAACTTATATTTTCATTTGTCTATCTGCAAAAGATTGATGAGAGCTGTCATCTGTAAGGAAGAAAAATTGTTCAGCTTCTGGATAAGTGTACAGCAAATCTTAAGATTTCCTGAGAAATTTATCATTTTTCTCACCATTTAAAGTCATATATTTAATCCAAGAAATGGGCCACAGAAGATGTTAAAATCTCAAGCTGTAGGATAAGAAAAATACATGGCAATTTGTCTAATGACACAAAACAATTGAAAATTGCATATTTGATTTTTGTTTTGAAGATAAAAGTACACAATAGTTAAGAAATATTTAAAAAATATACTAAGACCTACACAGAGCTTAGAAAAGTAACTTTAAGACTGAGTTCAAGCTACAGCTAACATAAATTCAATAACAAAACAGAGGAACAGCTACCTTGTTTTTGCAGAAGCCACAAAATTTACTGTCTCTCACCCAGAAGTGTCAGCACAGACATCTCTCATTCCCCATCTCCCTGTTGTCACCATCTCTGGGGAGCCTACAAACCGAGAAGGCAAAGGTCTGTGATGTCTCTTCCTTGCAGTGAGGCATGTTGTCACCAGCATCTGACAGGCCTGTGGGTGGTTATCAGAGATGGGAAGGGAAACCCCCAGCACAGAAGGAGATTCTGTGTCCCTGGGCTGGAGGGTGAGTAGTGCTCAGCAAAGCTGTGCAGGGACAAATGGGGTCTTTCAGTGATGCTGTTAAGAAAGGCAGACGGCGCTATGACCCAACATGTGGAACTGGCTGGTGCTCTGCCTCTGCAAGGGATGTGGGTATCTCACAGCTGCCCTTCACCCATCCTCAGTGTAAACACCTCTGAATTCGCAGTCACGTGGGAATTCTGGAGGGAGCAAGGAAAGTTATGGAAAGTTATGGAAAATAACAAGCACCTTCAGCAGTAAAATTACTTCCTGAAGTGGTTTATATGTATTAACACACACCGCTTTTCTGGTTTTCTGGGGTCTTTACAACTCATCCTACAACATAAAAAGCAAAAGAAACATCCCTTCCTTCTTGACTTGAACAATATTTCAGCTCTGTGTTTTATTATCAATAAATAGCTGCTTAATCCAATCAGCCCGGGCTGATTAAATCCATCTCAATAGGGTAAAAATTCTTACAGACTTAAAAATAGCATTTGCCTGACACTCACAGGCACAGTGTAAACTGTCTTAGGATATTCCATTTTCAAGAAGGTTATTCAGCATCAGGTGAATCTGTTATTGACCTATTGCTGTTTGCTATGTAGAAACTTATATGTTTTTACCAGTTATGTCTCTATTATATCTATATGCAAAGATCCAATTTTTCAAATTAAATTTGTGACTTTTAATAATAAGTTAAAAATAGTATGACTTTATATTTTTCACATGCTAAAATGTGTGAAGTGGCTGCACTGGAATGAGGCTCTAAAAAGCAATCTGGTCTTTATATATATATATGTGTGTGTGTGTATCTGATTTCAGGGACATGAGGCATCTTTTTTTTCTTTTAAGAATTATTAAATAGCATTTATAAGCAACAGGGATTGCATGATGTTGTGAAATTACATTTATTAGTTGAAATATTAGAAACTGTAAGCAATATAGCTATGTCAGAATCTGTAATCTTCTGCTGTCTCCAAACTGAAATCTTAAACAGAAACACTGACCTTCACAGGCCCTGGACAGAAAGCTCAGAGGTTCAGCTTACATGCCGCAGAGCAAATAGCACAGGGCAAAAATGAGGTTTTAACAACTG